GCCCCTTTCCTGCCCCCGTCCTTTGGTGTTCCCCCCCCAAGCGAAGTATCGCGCTGTGGGCTCAGCCCCATGTACAGTGAGGAAGAGCTAACAAGGGGGTCAGGAAGGGGGGGGACTCCGCCTCTTCAGCAGCCGGGGAAAAAGTATGGCGGGAAAGGCTCGGGAGGGGTCTAAGGGGAAGGTCTTCTCCCCACCCCAACCCGCCGAGGGGGGGGTAGTAGTGAAAGGGGGAGACCCTAAATTTTGATATTGGGTGATCGCACTGGCAGCCCCGTCTTATCTGCCAGGGCCCCTAATCTGCCATGGGCCCCGACCGATCCCCCATGGGCTGCCAGGCCCGTAATCTGTCATGGGCCCTTACCGCCCCCTCATTGTGCTGCCAGGTCAAATGTGTCTGGGTCCCCGTCGGCCTCCCTTGCTGCTGTTCTCCATCGCCACCTCTGCCATGTGCCACTTTTTAGGTCTCCCCAACTGCTGGTGGGTTCCATTTTGTCATAGGGTGCTGGGCAGATGACGGGACTTCCATTGCTGCTGCCAGGCCGTAATTTGCCGATGCGGCCCACGTACCGACTCCTCATGCTTGCTGCCAGGCCCGTAATCTGTCATGGGACCCCTGTAACCGCCTCTCATGCTGCTTGCCGGTCCAGAGTGTGTCATGGGTCCCTGTACGGCCTCCCTTTGCTGCTGTCCCTCCATCGCCACACTCTGCCATGTGCCACTTTTCAGGGCTCCTCACACTTGCTGGTGAGTTCCATTTTGTCATTGGGTGCTGTCAGTTACGGGCCTCCCTTGCTGCTGCCAGGCCCGTAATCTGTAATGGGCCCAGTACTGCCTCCTCATGCTGCTGCAAGGTATCGAGTGTGTCATGGGTCCCTGTACTGGCCTCCCATTGCTGCTGTCTCCATCACCCACTCGGCGCAGGTTGCCACCCTTTCAAGGCTCCCCTCCCCCCCTCACCCACCTGCTGGTGGGTTCCATTTTGTCATAGGGTGTTGCTGGCAGATTACGGGCCTCCATTGCTGCTGACAGGCCAGTAATCTGCCATGGGCCACCGTACCGACTCCCCCTATGCTGCTGCCAGGCCCGTAATCTGTCATGGGCCGCTGTTATCCGCCTCCTCATGCTGCTTGCCAGGTCCAGAGTGTGTCATGGGTCCCTGTTACGGCCTCCATTGCTGCTGTCTCCATCGCCACACTCTGCCATGTGCCATTTCGAGGTCTCCTCACACTGCTGGTGGGTTCCATTTTGTCATAGGGTGCTGCCAGATTACTGGCCTCCCATTTGCTGCTGCCAGGCCCGTAATCTGTCATCGGGGCCCCTGTACCGCCTCACTCTCATGCTGCTGCAGGTCCCGTAGAGTGTGTCATGGGTCCTGTACGGCCTTCCCATTGCTGCAGTCTCCATCGCCACACTCTGCCATGTGCCCACTTTCAGGTCACCTCCACACTGCTTGGTGGGTTCCATTTTGTCATAGGGTGCTGTCAGATTAACGGGCTTCCCATTGCGGCTGCCTAGGCCCTAATCTGTCATGGGCCCCCTGTACCCGCCTCCTCATATGCTGCTGCCAGGCCCGTAATCTGTCATGGGCCCCTGTACCACCCAGCATCCTTAGTGCCTCCTCCTCAGTGCTGCTGCCAGTGGTTCAGAGTGGTGTCATGGGTCCTGTACGGGCCATCACATTGCTGCTGTCCTCCATCGGCAACATCTCAGCGCAATGATCCACTTTTTTCGAGGTCTCCTCACACTGCAAGGTGGGTTCCATTTTGTCATAGGGTGCTGTATGCCTCCCATTGCTGCTGCCGTAGGCCCGTAATCTTGCCATGGGCCCCCGTACCGACTCCTCATGCTGCTGCCAGGCCCGTAATCTGTCATGGGCCCTGTACCGCCTCCTCTTGCTGTCACTGCCAGGTCCAGAGTGTGTCATGGGTCACCCTGTATGGCCTCCCATTGCTGCTGTCGCTCCATCGCCACATCCTCTGCTCATGTGCCACTTTCAGGTCTCCCTCACACTGCTGGGTGGTTCCATTTTTTCATAGGGTGCTGTATGGCCTCCCCCCATTGCTGCTGCCTCCACGCCACACTTGTGGCCTCCACCACTTCTGGTTTTGGCACCCGTGGAGTCCTGCCCAAATGAGTGAAGTGTGCGTTGATTCTAAGATCGACGGCACTCATCTGCATGTCATACTTGTCGCTCATCTCTAGTGAGGAGTACAAAGAAAAATGTATGGTGCCTACAGTGAAACATGATGGTGGCAGTGTCTTCCTGTGGGGCTGCATGAGTTTTGCTGGCATGAGGGAGCTTCATTTGATTGATGGTATCACAACTGTACTGCTCTATGTTGAAAGAGAAGATGCTACCATCACTCCGTGCCCTTGGTTGTCGTGCACTTTTCCAACATGACAATGATCCAAAACACACATCTAAGGCCACTGTTGCATTTCTGAAGAAGAACAGGGTGAAAATGATTCAGTGGCAAAGTATGTCTCCTGATCTGAACCCAATCGAAGACCTATAGGGAATTCAGAAGACAAGTTGAGCATCACTCTCCACCCAACATCCAGGCTCTAAAAGAGGTCATTCTTGAAGAATGGAAAAAGATAGATGTTGCAATATGTCACCAACTTGTTTAATCCATGCCTAGAAGACTTGTTGCTGTCTTTACAAACCATGGAAGTAATAAAAAGTACTAGATGTAGTAGTTTCTGTTGTGGGATGTATTCATTTTTGCATCAACTAATTTGAGTAAAACTGAAGATTTTGTAGACTGTTATATTATTAATCTTAATTTCATGTAATGAGCTAAAAAAAATGTTCTATAAAACTCAGTTTTTTCAAAATTTTTGAATTTTTTTTGAAAATTATTCTTGTGTTCATTGAGATATTGATTTAAACCTTACTTTTCAAAAGAGGTGCACTCATTTATGCTGAGAACTGTGTATATATATATATATATATATATATATATATATATATATATATATATTTCTGTTTATACATATACCCGTGTATATTATTCTGTATACAGCATTCTATATGTAATATAAATATACCAAACCTTTATATACTTTACTTGATATACTCCAAAGAATTGAAAATTAATAGGTGAAAAATCATTTAACCACATCCTGCCCACCATATAAGGAAATGACGGGTGCAAGGCGGCTCTCTTATTCTGGGAGGATGTCATATGACGTCCTCCCACTCTAGTAGTGTGTGCGCGGCTCCGGGGATGCGTAGCGCGGCGATCTGTGGTGCGCTGTGTCCCTTGGATACATAGTGGATTACCGATCAACGGAAAGAGCCGAAGACGTCAGCGCTGTCATGTGATCAGCTTTGTCCAATAATAGCTGTTCGCATGTAAATAAGGAAATGCCTGGCAAGCAGATATCCTGACAGGTCTGCAGGAGACCTGCATAGCATCAGCGATCTACTGATCACTGGTGCAATGCTTTCCATGCTCCTTTGGACAAAAATAATAAATGCACATTTTTTTAATTTGCAAAAAAATGTGCATTTATTATTTTTGTTCAAAAGGTGAACTTATCCTTTAACCGCCTCCCGCCCACCATATAAGGTAATGACGGGCGTAGGGCGGTTCTTTTCTTCTAGGAGGACATCATATGACGTCCTCCCACTTTAAACCGGGCATGCGCGGCTCCGGGAGCTTGCAGCGTGGCGATCGGTGGTGCGCTGTCTCCCTTGGACACAGCAGATCACAATCAATGGAAAGAGCCGAAGATGTCAGCTTGATCATGTGATCAGCTGTGTCCAATCACTGCTGATCGGATGTAAATAGGGAAATGCCGGTTATTGGCATTTCTCTCCTTGCGAACTGTCACGCTGACAACTCGTGAGGAGAGGAGAGCCGGTAATCGGCATTCCTCAGAGGGGACATGTGCACTGATCATCAGGGCACTGATGATCAGTGTGCCCTGATGATCAGTGTAGCCCCAGCAGTGCCACCTGTCAGTGTCCATTAATGCCAGCTATCAGTGCTCATCAATGCCACATATCAGTGCCCATCTGAGCTGCCTTTCAGTGCTACCTATCAGTACCAGTCAGTGCCACCTATCAATGCCAGTCACTGCCAACTATCAGTGCTGCCAATCAGTGCCACCTATCAGTGCCAGTCAGTGCCGCCTATCAGTGCACATCAGTGCCACCTATCAGTGCACATCAGTGCCACCTATCAGTGCTGCCTAACAGTGCCAGTCAGTGCCACCTAACAGTGCAAGTCAGTGCCACCTATCAGTGCCATATATGAGTGCTGCCTTTCAGTGTCTATCAGTGATGCCTGTCAATGCCCATCAGTGCCACCTACCAGTGCCTCCTCATCAGTGCCCATCACTGCAGCCTCATTAGCGCACATCAGTGAAGGAGAAAAAGCACTTATTTACTAAATTTTATAACAGAAACTAAGAAAAAACGTTTTTTTTTTTTTTAATTTTCAGTGGTTTTTGGTTTGTTTAGCAAAAAAATAAAAAACCCAGAGGTGATTAAATACCACCAAAAGAAAGCTCTATCTGTCTCACAAAAATGATAAAAATTTCATATGGGTACAGTGTTGCATGACTGCACAATTGTCATTCAGAGTGTGACAGCGCTGAAAGCTGAAAATTGGCCTGGGCAGGAAAGGGGGTATAAGTGCACTGTAGGCAAGTGGTTAAAATAGGTTCTTTGTAAGCAATTGTAAATAATACATTCTTCTTTATTGCATGATATATTAGAACAGCTTACTCTCCTCACAGCTGGTTTTGAAGAACAAAGCATTGAAAAACAAAAGGAAAAGTCATATAAGACACTTTTAGTATGTGGGTGTACTTAGCAGTTTTCCAAACTACTTCTTTATGGACGGATAACATTCTGAGGTCCTTGTCGGATACGCTCATTTCAAGAGGTAATTAAATTTTCTAGCATCAGCCAGCAAAGTATTCAGCTTATATTTTTACCTCCTCAAGCAGAAAAAAACATGACAAAGTGATAATCGTATTTTTAATTGAGCACCATGGAAAGAAATTCCAATGCTAACTAATTACTTTTCATCTTGAGTAGCTAACTTGTAACATGACAGCCACTAGTAACTGTGACTAATTATTTTTTATTAGAACACTTACAACAGGGTGAATTGAATATTGTACAAATTTAAGAGGAGAGAGAGCAAGAAAGAGAGAAGGGGAGGGAGAATAGATAATTGATATGCTAAGCTGGGCTTCCTAAATATATTATGTACAAGATAAGAAGTGCACATTTAGAACAAATGACCAGGAATACTTTGAAGGGTGTTGGGTTTGTCTATTTGTTAAATTCTGGGTATTGCCATTTTAAGAAAATGTTATCATATCTCCCCTTTAAGAGCTTTCGGCGATGGTAGTTGGAGTGGGAAATTTGTGTGATTAATAAAGATGGTGACCTGTTAACAGTCTGTCTGCACCTCTCAGATACAAAAATGGCAACAAGGACACTCGAACCCTGTGTGTAACCTCCAGAGACGTTTCTGAAGCACACTGGAGAGCTTACAATGTCCTGGGATCTTCGGTATAAACAATTTTCAATCTACTTACTCACATCCAGGGGCAGACTGACAACTCATGGGGCCCCCGGGCAATAGGGGATCATTGGGCCCCTGTGTCCTTGCCCAAACTCAAAAAAGGCTATAAAAAAGGTACCAGGGGCATCTCATGGGGCCCCCTACTGACCCTGGGCCCTCAGGCAGTGCCCGAGTTTCCAAATGGTCGGTCCGCCCCTGTTCACATCTGGCCCAAATGGGACCTCACCTGAGAGATAGAGGGCTTTGCTGCTTAATTCATTAAGTTCAGAAGGCTATAGGATTTTCTCAACTTTGGTTTCAGATTCTTCATATAGCTACAGTACAAGCCCTGAAATGGTATTTTACACCAGTCACAGATGCATTAGTGGCCAGAGTTCATTTCCAGAGACACTTTGGGGGAGATTTACTAAAGCTGGTTCACTCAGAATCTGGTGTAGCTGTGCTTGGTAGCCAATCAGCTTCTAACCTCAGCTTGTTCAATTAAGCTTTAGCATAAAAACCTGTCAGCTGGTTTCCATGCAGAAGTGCATGAGAGTCTGAGTGAACCAGCTTTAGTAAATAAACCTCAGTCTATTACTGAGACAGTTAGCAGCACCCTGCAGATTTGAACCCTTACATGAGAAAATGATTAGAAACCAACTTATTGAAAAGACTACAAACCCAAAACTAAGGGAAAGAAAGACTGCTTATGGAGCCAGATACACTTACTTTGCAAAGAGCAGTAGATTGTGGATGCCTGATGGTAATTGGCTGCGCAGGAAGCCAGAACTATTCTGTGCTCTGAAAATGGTAATGAAGCCACTGTTCAAGTATAAAAATTGATTGACATCATACCAAATACACATTGTTTTACCTGTGAAGGTATTTTTCATAATGAAGCCGTGAAGCTGTACTCTGCATAAAGCAAACGAAGGAGGCACAGTAATAAACTGAACCGCTTTGCTAAATGTTGCTGTTCCACCCTAAATGCATCTGTTCATAACTTGAAGCAGCCAGATCAAGAGCCTGATGGCCTGCAGATTTATACACTTAGAAAGGATCAGACAAATTTGAAACTTTGCCACTGTGTTATCACTAATGTCAAAATTGTAGACATAGGCACAAAGGTTTCAGTTTTGAATGCAACAACTTTGAGTCCTCATGCACACTGGACATTTTTACAGCTGCTGTTTTTTCGCTTTTGATGTTTTTCTACAGCCAGTAAACCCCCCAGCATGTTATCCTATGTGTTCATGCACACATAGGCTGTAATCAATGATTTTTGGCAGGGGTGTTTTTGGCTGGAAAAAAACCCCAGGACAAGTGGGTTTCTAGAGGAGTTTTTTAGCTATAAAAATGCTCTAATGCTGAAAATTGCGGCAAACCGGTGTTGTTGGACATTTTTGGTAAAAAAAACTAATAAACACTAAGAAACGCAAAAAAAAAACGCAGCAAAACACTGCTAAACGCTAGTTCAAAAATGCTAAATAACACTATGTGACTTTACACAGCTAACGTTACCAGCGTTATTTAAACGCCCAGTGTGCATGGAGCCTCAATTTCCATTTTTATCATTACCAACTCTAGGAGACACTGACTACTGTCACGATCGCATGATCGCCGCCACCAACATGCGACAATCTCACGACCGCGACCACCAATACGTCACGATCGCGGCGTCAGACCCCAGACCTTCTCACCAAACTCATGACCGAAGGACCGGCAGATCAAGACCACGATGTGACGTGCGTAACAATGCCACACTCAGCACAACGATTGTCCAGCTAATGGAACGCAATCGACGCACCGGCAGCCTGAATGCGATTGTTACTGGGTCAGGTTAATTACGCAACTAACCCTTCACACTGCCACCACCCCTTTTTGTACAGAGAAAGGGTAAACTCTCTTTATCAAATACGGTCACCGCAGGCCGATTGGGCAGAGGATTAAACAAACACAGTAGCGTCTCTTCAAAAGGCAGGGATTCGTAAATTGCAATTAAGCGCTTTAGAAACAGTTTGACTCTTTTAGTAATAAATCTTTCTTTCTGAAAGTGTTAAACAGGTGCAATACAATATTTACAGAAAAAAGATGTAACTAAAATATATATATATATATATATATATATATATATATACATATATATACACACAAAGGACCATAGCAAAGCAAGGAGATAACAGGGAGAAGTTAAAGGTTTAAGTTACTTGCCATTTAAGCCTTTGAGGTAAGCAGATCCAAGTTGCATAGCGAAAGGATCTTTGATCTCCCACTGTTACGATAGGAGATGTCTTCAACTTTTTTTTCTATGCCTACTAGCCTTTGTTTTAAAGTTCCCCAGCAGGGGGGTGGCTCTGAGTAACTGGCCAATACTCTGTTTAGGGCGGGATCGTCGGGCGGACTCTGAATTAAAACCAACAGCTTTATAATCCATGATATGAAACATAGGGGACAAACTGACTGAGGACTTTTCATTTAATTCTGTCACTTCTGCTGTTAGGTTTTATGAGGTTACAATCTCTTTCAACTCCTGGGAGAAGCTGCCTTATCTCTGTTAGGAGGTGCGAGTTTACACAGGCTTTTGGACAGCCTGTCTCTGAGAGGCTCTGTCTCTATGGGAGGGGGGCTTTGTAGCTCTGGGCTCCCTGCTGCTCTACCTGCCAGTGACTTTTAACACACACACATCTGTCACTGTGCCTCTCAGGAAGGGAGGGGCAAGGAGAATAAAGGATAAATGAATACTTTTAATAAAAAGGGGGACTCTGTGTCCATCTCTGATGAGCAAGTTTGCTACAACTACCCTAACAGGCTAAAGTAAAACACACATTTCAGTACTGGGTAAGGTAACAATAACTGTCACATACCAAAAGAAGAATTTTATGCAAATGTATGTTCTGGATCAAAAAGATGCTGAAATATGCTTGGTAGACAGTGTCTGTAAAGAAAAAGTCAAAGGACTAGGTCTCATTTACAAATTTTCTCACAATCCAGCTTTGAACCCTCAGATAGCTCCAGTGATGCAGATCCTGCGCAGGCTCCCTTAGCAGTTCCAGCCACAGTGGAGGAAGAGCTGCAAAAACTCTTACAAGAGGATGTTATAGAACCTATTAACTCCTCCCTATGGGTTTCCTACTTGCCTGCTTGTCATGTGTTTCATACTTCCTGCTTTTACTAGTTGCATTGCAGGCCAGAAACCTAACAGCATTCTTTACACATCTAGGACTTTTTCATTTTTAAACGTGTGCCTTTGGGATTGTGCTTGGCTGCAAACTGTTTCCAAAAAATAATGGTCACTCTTTTTGCAGGAATACCCAGTGTAACAGTTTACTTGGATGATATCTGTGATGGACTGCCTGGCACCCTACCTGATTGCTTCTGTCAGAGAACTGCTTCTTCACCACTGGAACATAGGAGCAAGGTATCATAGCTGTGCATTGCACTCAAGAAATAGGTAACACTAGCTTAGGTGCAAGCTAAACTCTTGATTGAATAGATATACAGGTTTTTATAAACTTTAAATATAGGGGCAGTCCCCACATGAGCAATAAAAACAAATATTACACACTGGGATAAACATCCCACACTG